CTAGCCCTCCCACTTCCTTCCCCTTTGCCCCTTTTCTTCCTATTTCACATTACCTATTATACATTTTAGTCCTTATTTACACTTTCATTAAAAATACAATATTAAGAGAACAAAGGAAGCATAAAAATGTAGAACGCATGGATTCCATTTATATATTCCTCATATAGTTCTGGCCACTCCTTCATCCTAGGGAATCAAAGAATGAAAGGATAGTTTCTTAAATTACATGGTTTTTTTAAGACTTAAATGGTAAAAATATATTAAAAGCAAAAAAGTGATCACTATGAAACTAAGGGGAAGAGACATCAAGAAAGAGTGGGCAAAGGGTTCAGCCACACTAGGAATGTTGTATTTTTAACTCTGGTGGTTTATACATGAATGCTTAATAATAATTTGTTAAATGAAATGTATATTTTACTTTTCTAAATGTGTGCCACACTTTACACTTTATAAAAGATGGGAAAATTTTTTTTAAAAGAAAATGGCCAAACCATAAAATCTCTGGCAACTAACATAACTAGACACCCACCAGGATAGGATGCAAAAGCAAATTTTTCATTAGTTAATATGTCACTGTGTGCAGAATGTAAAATGGTTACGGTAGAATACTTTTCCAGTCTAAAGGGTTTAAATGGGAAACTTTGAAATAAAGTACTCACTATTGTTTTTCTGTTTTCAATGGAGAAAGTGAAAAAGATGACTCCAGGTCAACAACAGATGTCAATGAATCTCTTCCTGGTATCCTCTAACAGAAATATTATAATGGTATAACTTACCCAATGAGTACTATTGACTGTCTTGAATCGAAGTATATATTTTAAGTCATCTGATAATGCATGGAGTTCCCACTGTATTTGAAGCATTTTTTTGATGCCCAAAACTGGCTTCACACTTAAAATCTTAGGTGGTATAGTTTTCACTGAAAATAAAAATCACACAATTCTCATATTTGCAAAAACAATGAGAAGACACTAACATCCACCTAAAATTAAAAATACAAGCCTCAAAAGGAAATGATAGTGCATATTTTGCTGCCTGCTATGTGCAGATAGCATTAGCAATGTAGTGAAAAAGGAATGCCACTTCCCGCCTGCTGTCTCCCAACAAAGGAATGCCCAATGAAAAGAGAATTACTCCTGTGAGTTTTCAGTAAATCAGCCTTTTACTGATGACTATCTTATAGGAGGCAGAGGAAGGTAAAAAGTGACTGATATACAATAATAATAATACAATTATAAACAAGTATAGGTTATAGAATAAACTATAATAGAATTTTTAAAGACAGAAGGTGAGGTCAGACAACAGAAAATGGGCTGTTTCCTTTATCTATTCTCCCCTCCTCTGGGCCTCTTTCCTGACTCCCAGGATGGGAGAATGCTAACTAGAAAGTACCTCTCATTTTCCTTGCACACTATAAACATTCTAGCCCCAAATCTCTCTCCTTGAAAATATACACTTTTATGGTTATGAAAATAGCATATGCTCAATTTTTTAAATATAAAAAATACAAAGAAAACTTAAAATAATAATTCCATCCATCAGAGACAACTCATTAATATTTTGGTATATTTCTATTCATGGTTATTCCTGTGTATTTGCATGTCTTTTTTTTTTTTTGGTACTGGGGATCGAACTCAGGTCCTTGCACTTGTGCAGCAGGTGGTGAAACCATTGAGCTAAATCCCCAGCCCATACATATATTTTATACCAAACTGATATGCAAGTAAAGCCTTGGCCTTCAAAAACAACATTATTTATCTTTCTACTAAACATTATTAACTATTAAAAGTTCTTCAAATTATTTTTTAAAAGCTTCATAATATTCCATTTTGTGGATGAACAAGATTTGACCACTTTTCTAATATTTCATAATATTTCATGTACATTCATAACATTTCTAATATTTCACTTAAAAGTCAGAAGGGAGAAGCTAGTCTTAATTACAGTCTAGAATTAAGGTACATAGCAAGTATCAAATATGTGTTAAATGAATGAATAAATGGATAATACTCAAATCTTTTCCTGCATCTCTAATGGGTTCCTTACAATAGCCTGGCTGGGTAAAAGGACACAAACATTTTTAGGGGTGCTGGCACGTAAAGTCATTTTGCTTTCTGAAAAGGCTATACCAATTTCAATTTCTAGCAACAGTGTGTGAATACCCATCTCACCACATTCTTGCTAGCTAGAACTGAATAATAGCATTTTAATCTTTGTAATTCCTGAAAGATTTTGGAGGGCAAAAAATTCCTACTTAGACCACAAAATTAAAAACATAGGGTAAACATATTCAAAAAGCTCTTGGTGACTACTCAAAAAATAATGTGTATTCATTATGCCTCAACTAAAGGGTGGTCATCAATCTATGTGGCCATTCCAATGGGTAAACTATAAACAATAGACATATTAAGTATTTCCATAAGATTATTTATATATATGGGACACTTGATAAGCGTATTTTAGGAAAATCATTTTGTTGACTCCTAACCCCCTAATATTTATGACACCCATTTCACAGAAGAGATTTAGGGAAGTTAAATAAATTCCTAATAATAAGCCATGCTAATACTCATTTGTTCTGAGCACAAGGATCCACCCAAGGTGAAAAGTTCCTGCCTTTACTCATTACACTAGACTGCTTCATGCCAGAGTAAATACAAATTCCTCTTAAATCTCCACCCAACTCTATCACTAAGCATATACAAGTTATTCATTTTTTTCTGATGAAAATGGCTCTCAGAAGAACTCACCAAGATCTGATGTATATTAAGTGACATTAACAAATCTCATTTATATTCTAATCTGTCTGAAGGCAGACTAGTGGAATTATTTTGCCTGATTTGAATCTTACATGGGAAAAATGACAGGGAGCGCTCAGAAAAGTTGCAAGGAGACTATAGATCTTCATAAGCCTGGGGCAAGGGGTTATGGATAGAGACATATTACAGACTATATAAGATCCTAAGGAAAAACTGAATGACGTTCTCTGGGAAATTAAAACACTAAAAAGCATCTGTGTATGTATATAACTTGAGCAAGATGCATGCTCAGAAAACTCAGACCAAGCCTCACTAATCTGTGAAGGACTATCTATGAGCACAAAGCTAGTCTAGAAAGACTAGGAGCTGTGGCTAAGTTTTTCAATGCTCAGTTTTCAACAACTACAAAAATTACAATGAGTACAAAGAAACAGAAAAATATAACCCATTCAAAGAAACAAAATAAACCAACATCATTGTGGAAGTCTGGACATCAACTTACTAAATAGTTTGAAAGAGTTGTCTTAAATGTGCTCAAAGAGCTAAAGGAAATCATGGGCAAAGAACTAAAAGAAATAAGAAGAAATTATATATGAATAAAATGAGAATATCCACAAAGAGATAGGAACCATAAAAAGAAAACAGACATAAATTCTAAAGTTGAAAATTAGAATAACTGAGATTTTAATTCACTAGAAAGGTGCAACAATAAATTTGATTAGGAAGAAGAAGGATCAGAACACTTGGGGATAGGACAGTTGAAATTACTGGGTCTAAGGAGTAGAAAAAAGCAAGAATGAAGAAAAGTGAACACAGCCTAAGGGATTTGTGGGATATGATCAAGCAGAACAATTTATTATACATTATTGGAATCTCTGAAGGAGAAAAAGAAGAAGGAGCACAGTGATTATTTGGAGAAATAATGGTCCAAAACTTCCCAAATTAAATGAAATGTATCAATCTAAAAGTCCAAGAATCCTCATGAACTCCAAGTAGAATAAATCTAAAAAGATCCATATTAAGACACATAGCAACTAAATCATAGAAAGACAAAGCATTATAAAAGCAGCAAGAGTGAAGCAACTTATCCATAAAGGTTCTTCCATAAGACTATCAACCAATCGCTGCCTGCTGCGCAAATGCAAGGACCTGGGTTCGATCCCAGGTACCAAAAAAAAAAGACTATCAACCAATTTTTCATCAGAAATCTTAGGGTCCAGAAGACAGTGACATGATATACTTAAGTGCTGGGGGGAAAATTGAGAATTCTATATCTGCTAAAAGTGTTCTTCAAAACTGAGAGAGAAATTAAGACATGCCCAGATAAACAAAAGCTGAAGGAGTTTACCACCAGTAGACCTGTTCTACAAAAAAACCTAAAAGGAGTCCTTCAGGTTGAAATAAAAAGATACCAGACTGTAACTTGATCTGGATGAAGACATCTCTGCTATAGGTGAATACACTGACAAATATAAAATCCACTATTATCATAATTTTTGTGGGTAACCTCTGTTTTATTTTACAATTTTATTTAAAAGATTGATTCATAAAAATAATTATAAATCTATGCTAATGGTTATACAATGTATAAAGATATAATTTACAGGGCTGGGGATTTAGCTCAGTGGTTTCGTCACCTGCTGCGCGAGCGCAAGGACCCAAGTTCGATCCCTGGTACCAAAAAAAAAAAGATATAATTTACATTACCAGTGGCATAAAGTTGGGGGAGGTAATTGGATAAGAGTTAAGTTATGCATGCAGCTGAAGTTAACAGGGTACTGATTCAAACTAGTCATAACTTTAGATGTTATATGTAATCCTTATGGTAATTATAAAATGTAGAATATACACAAGACGAAGTGAGAAGGAAATCAAAACATGCCACCACAAAAAGAAAAAAATCACCTAAATATAAATGAAGTCAGTAATGGAGGAAATGGACTGAATGACTGAAAACAAATAACAAAATGGTAAAAGTAAGTCGTTTCTTATTAATAATTACTTTAAATGTAAAGGTATAGATTTATGCCAACCAAAAGGCATAGATTAACAGATGGATTATTTTTAGTGATCCAACTTTAGATCTAAAGACATAATTGAAAGTGAAAGGATAGGAAAAGATACTACATGTAAATAGTGACAAAAAGAGCAGAGGTGGGTTAATTATCAGACAAAATTGACTAAGTAAAAAACTGATACATAACAAATACAAAAATTTTATTTAGTCAGATGCCGTTAATCGTGATAACTTATGAGACAGAGGCTAGACTGAAATATTATCCAGAAGTAACCATGAAAAAAGTTTAAGCAAACTACCAGTACAAACCTAAAGGACTGGGAAGGGGGAATGTCTCAATTGGAAACCAAACTATATTCAGTTGTTCTTAAAGCATCGTCATAATCCCATACAGCTGAATTCAAATAATAAGAAAATATTTTATTATAAAAATTTTACTTACTAAATGTTCTCTCCTAAAAGGAGTCCAAAAAGATGTTAGTGCTTAACAACCCTAAAAATAAATTATACCAACCCTAAATTTCACAAATCCTACAAATAGATTATAAAAATGTTTCTTTGGAGATTACAATTACAGTGTTTCATCTCTGTAGACCAAAATTCCTCCTTACTCTAAGTTTGAAGGAGTAGCAATTATACAATATTTAATAGATACATCTGGTTGAGAGAGGTATTAGGTAGTTCTGTTTTATTTTCAGTTTTTTGTACACCTGAATTTAATGATTTTTAATTACTAAATATATATTCATTATAAAATATTAAAGATATTTAATAAATATAGATGATGAAAGCTTTTAAAGAAAAATGAAATAATCTTATCTCCTTCCAGGTTCATTATCTTGAGGTAATGCTAATGTAAATGTCTGATAAGTCTTACAAAGTTAGCTCTGAAAAAATATTTTTAAAAGAAACCCAAGACAAAAAGAAAAAAAAAATCAGGAAGAAAAATTTTCCACAAAGGAAAGCTCAGGCTTAGATGGCTGCACTGGTGAACTCTATCACAAGTTTAAAACTTAACATCAATTCTTCCAAATAATAGAAGATGAGGAAAAATTTCACAACTCATTCTATGAGACCAGCATTACTCTGATAACAAGAACAAAGATATCACAAGAAAACAACAGAACAATATCCATTATGAATAAAGAGCAAAAATCCTTAACACAAAAATTCTAAATTCAGCACCATATCAAAAGAACTATATACTTCAACCAACTGGGATTTATCCCAAGAATATGAATATTTGTTTAACTTATGAAAATCATTCAGTGTAACATACTATTTTAATATAATAAAGGAAAAAACTACATGATCATCCTAATAGATACAGAAAAGGCATTTGACACTTCTTTGTGGTTAAAATAAAGTTCAATAAACTATAAAGAGTAATATTTTATCAATTTATAAAAAGTATCAACAAAAACCCACACCAACATTATACTTAATGATGAAAGACTGGATCCTTTCACCCTAAGATTACAAACAAGAAAAAAAATGTCTGCTCTCACCACTTCTATTTAATGTTGTACTGAAGGTTCTAGACAACTAGGCAAGAAAAAGAAATAAAAGGCATTCAGATTGAAAATGAGAAATAAAACTATATTTGCAGATGACATGATCTGGTATATAGAAAATTCTGAGGAATACACCAAAAACTACAGAACCAATAAACAAGGTTATCAATTACAATAACAATATATGAAAATCAGTTTTATTTGTATGCACTAATAATGAACAATTGGAAAATAAAATTTTAAAAGCAATTCTATTTTTTAAAGACACATAAAAATTTAATATTCTAGGGCCAGGGATTTAGCTCAGTGGTGCCGCCGCCTGCCTTGCAAGCTTGCACAAGGTCCCAAGTTCAATCCCCGGTACCAAAAAAAAAAAAAAGTAGACAGAGAATTTAAAATTCAATAAATATAGCATTACAAAGGAAAATAGTGGCTTACATTACTGAAGTAATTGATAAACTCTTTGCAAAGATTAACCTTAAATCCCTATCTCACACAGAAAGTAAACTTGAGATTGATTAAAATTTCCTTTTTATCCCAGTTATGTAGATTAAATGAGTTAATGTGTATAAACAAAATAAAATTCCTATTGAATTAAAGACAACTGTAAAAAGGGGGAAAAAAACAACAAAAACTCAGAACAAAACAAAAACCAGTATATTCAGCCCTACTTGGGTTGAGACAAGTATGTTCAAGGTAGAGTCCAAAAAAAACTACTATGCTGAAATACCATGAGCCGTAAAAAAAGGCAAAAAAGATGTTAAAAATTTTACATGACAAAGGATTGACATTCTTAATTTATAAATAAGTCAAACCAAGAAAAAAGGCAAGCTTTCTAAAACCATAACAGGACCAAAACATATGGATAAGTAACTCTCAAAAGAATGAATAGAAAAAAAAAAAAGAATGACTAGAAATGGAAAATAAACATGGAAAAACACCCTTCACTAAGCTTTTTCTGTAATTAATTTGGCAAATATTTTAAATAGCAAATTTAAATTCTGGGTGTTTGATATATTGCTTAAAGGAATGTAAATGGACACAGTCTCTGAAATGAATGATATATATTATCAAGATTCTCAAAAACTTACATACCTTTCCTCCAGCAACTTTACTTTTTAAAAAAAGTCTTTGGAAATAAATGTGTGATATGTGCTTTTTTTGTTTTTTTGTTTGTTTGGGGTTTTTGGTGGTACCAGGAATTGAACCCAGAGGCTTTGTATTGAACTACATTCCCAGCCCCACCCCCTCCATTTAATTTTTTTTTTTTTTTTGGTACTGGGGATCGAACTCCAGTCCTTGAGCTTGCGAGACAGGCAGCAGAACCACTGAGCTAAATCCCCAGCTCTCCACTTAAATTTTGAGACAGCGTCTCACTAAGTCACTAAGTTGCCAAATGTAGGCTCCAACTTGAGATCTTTCTGCCTCAGCCTCCCAGCATGCTGGGATTATAGGTGTACCATCATGCCTGGTGGATGTGATTATCTTTTAAAATACTGATCAAATCACTATTGAGATTATATGATAAATAATTTGTTACACAATAGGAATTTTTTTTTTTTTTTTTGGTTTTTTGAGAAGGGTCTTGCTCTGTAATTCAGCCTCAAACTTGTGACAATCCTCCAGTTTTAGCCTCCCGAGTGCTAGGATTACAGGCTTGTGCCACCACACCTGGCAGAAATTATTTTATGGTACATCCATGAAAAATACTCTGCAGCTATCTAAAATGCAAAATATTTCATAGAAGAAAATGTTTATAATATTTAAAGCAGACTATAAAACAATGACATTATGACTGTATTTTCATATAAATGTACAACTATGCATACATAGAAAACTAAGTAAAAGCATGACTGCTTTAATGTTAGAGGCTTGTGTCTGGCTGGTGGGTTTAAAGAAATGTGCATATGTACACGAGCACCTCTGTGCCACCAGACTTCCACAAATGACATGTTGTTTCATTCTATGAAGAATATCAAATAATTTTATGCTTTGAAACCAGTTACTATTAAGTTTTAAAAGTTCCACCACTTCTTGAGAGCCACAGGCTGGGCTCTTTTAAGGTGGTCTTTAGGTCATTAAAGGCATAGCCTGGAAGGGGGTAATGGGACTCCAGCCCTTTCTTCCCTCTTCTCTTTTGTTCTCCAGTCAGTAGGTGAATGCCATTGCTCTACCACTCACTACCACGATGATGGGCCATCTCAGGACCAAAGCAATGGAGTGAATTGGATACAAGCCAAAACCTGCAAAACTGAGAACCAAATAATATTTTTCTCTTTGTAAGTTAATTTGTCAGGTATTTGCTATAGAGATGGAAAACTAACATACTACTTAACACCATATTTAAAAAATTAACTCAAAGTAGATCAAAAACCTAACTATAGGAGCTAAAGCTGTAAAGTCCTTAGAAGAAAATATGACAGTAAGTCTTGTGGGCTTAAAGTAGGAAATGCTTCTCAGATATTACACCTGAAATATAAGCAATAAAAGAAAAATATAGATATATTGGACTTCATCAAATTTTAATTTTCTCTGTTTGAAAGGACATTATTAAGAAATTAAAAGGCAACGTAGAAAGGGAGAAAATATTTGCAAATCATCCATCTGATAAAGAATTTAAACCAAGAATAAAGAACTCTTACAACTCAGTCATAAAAAGACAAAAAATTAAAAGACAACAATGAAAAATGGGCAAAGAATTTAAATTTCTCTAAAGAAGATACACAAATGGCCAATCAGCACATAAAAGATATTCAACATCAGTAGTCACTGGTTAAATGCAAATCAGAACTACAACAATATACTACTACTTCACACCTACTAGGATGACTATAATGAAAAAAAAGAGACAATAACAAGTTTTGGTGAGGAAATTGAGAAAATGTAAGTAGCAAGTGGTATAGCCACTAGGTATACATCTAAGAGAACTGAAACATGTTCACACAAAAAATTTTTACACAAACATTCATAGCAGCATTATTTATAACTACCAAAAAGTAGAAACAACCCAAATGTACATTAGCTGATGTATCCATGAACAAAACATGGTTTATCTATCTATGGAATATTACTGAGCTATAAAGAGGAATGAAGTACTAATATCTACTACAACATGGTGAACCTTGAAAACATTATGCTAAGTGAAAAAAAGCCAGATGTAAAAGGCCACATATTGTATGATTCCATTAATATAAAATGTTCATAATAGGTAAGTCTTAGAGACAAAAAACTAGATTTAAGATTTTCAGAGGAGGGAAAGGTAAATGAAGGATTGGAGACTTACCACTAATGGATATGAAGTTTCTTTTGGGGATAATGAAAATATTATTGAATTAGACAGTGGTGACGTTTGAATAGCTTTGTGAATATTTGTGAATACCACTGAACTGTATACTTTTAAAAGGTGAACTTTATGGCATGCAAATTATATCTCAAGAAATCAATTATTTTAAAATTATATGGTAAAGATGAGTTTTCAAAAAAGAATTTAAAAGGTCAAGATTAGGGAGAGCTTTTAAAAATGAGAGCTTTACTCTTTTTCTTATGAGCAATTATGATTTGTGAGGACAGCAGTCCTTCTATTTCTTTGAATACAATTTATGTTACAAATTGCAAGAACAATCAGTAGCCAACAAAATAGCTCTTATCTCTCATTTGGCCAATTCCTTCCCTTCCTTCCCTTCCTTCCTTCCTTCCTTCCTTCCTCCCTCCCTCCGCACCTCTTTTCATTCCTTCCTTCTCTCCCTCCTTCCTTATTCCCTCCTTCCATTTTCTTCCCTTTCTTTCTTCCCTCCTTTCTTCTTCTACCTTCTTCCCTCCTTCCTTCCCTCCAACTGTTCCTCATTTTTCCTTCTTTCTTTGATAAGAAGGTATATTTATAGCATAAACCTACTTATATCCTTTAGCTTTGAGTCCACAGATGCCTCTTTCTTTTTAAAAAAAGAGTAATTATTCAATAAACAATATATAAGAATAGCAAAGAATACTTACATATGTCATTTAATGACCAATGTGTAGTGTCAGATTTAATTATCCCATCTGCATTTTGAGCTTCCACTACAATGGTACAATGAGCTGGAGCTGCTATAATTTGATGCAAAAAAGAGCACAAGGCACCTGTAGAACTGTTGGATGTACAAGTGTAATTGTTTTTGCTTCCTCCACATTTACTTTGAAGAAAAAAAAATGATTCAGCATGAATTTAGTATAGTAATTTAAAACATATCATACTTAATACATTAAACAGTATTTGTTAGTTTTGCTCAGAGTTTCTCTTAAGAACTGCATGGTCCAGGATTTGGTTTCCCTCTCCTCCAAAAAGAGGTAAAATTTCCTGCTTCCTTCCTGCCTGGGGTGCTATGAGCCCTGGAGACTCCTGAGGGCCCTGTAAACCCATTAAAAGCAATAGGGCAGTACACTTCTTACTGACAAAAAAGTAATGGATTAGCTCTTGAAAATCCAGAATGTGGCCTTGAGAATTTATTCTTTTGAAAAGTATGATAGAAATAAATAGGATTTAAAATGATATTTTTAATATATCTATGTTTATTGATATGGAAAGATGCTCATATTCTATTGTTGGTGGCAAAGTCAGGGTGCATATCATATACAGAATGATCAGTTATATCAACATATATTTGTATAACTAGTCATACAGATAAATGGAAAGGTCTTTATATAAATGTTAAAGTTGTTACCTTAGATCAGTGATGGTGAAGCTTTTAGAGACCAACTGCCCAAACTGCCACCCAAAACCCACTTATTTATTTAAGTACCAACACTGCAATTAAACCTGAGGTTTTAGTTTAGGAAAAAAAATAATTCATATATTAACATTTGTTTTAAAAGAAAAACACGCATTCCATACATTCACCACCACTCCTTTAGATGTGATTTTTTTTACTTTATGTCTCAGATTGAATTTTTTAACCATTGATATACAGTATTTTCAGAAAACTCATTAAAACAGATAGATAGATAGATAGATAGATAGATAGATAGATAGATAGATAGATAGATAGAGACAGACAGACAGACAGACAGACAGACAGACTCTATGAAGTCTCTATAAATTAGAAGGAACCAGATGAATATGGCTATAACCTCCATGGCCCTGGGGATTGTAGAGGAGAAGCCAGAACTAAACTAAAAAGAAGGTTCAAATGTTAAGGTTCCAGTGTTTGCTGGAATGGGGTGGGGGGAACAGAGCTTAGACACACGGAATCACTGAATCTTGAAACTAGAAAGGACCTCAAGAATTTCCAATGATTATTACCCAGTGCAAAAATGGCCCCCAGGGTGGTGTTTAGTCATGGTTACAGGCACAGGTTCTGGAAGTAGATTGGGTTTACTTCTGTTATATGGCCTGAGCAAGTTCCTTAACTTCTCTTAGTGTTCTATATGTAAAATGAGGATAGTAATGTAACTAACTATAGTTTAGGGTTTCTATGACAATGAAATGAGCTAATACAGGTAAAGTATTTTTAAAATGTCAGATACACAGAAGTTAATAAATGTGGAATTCTATTATTATTATTACTATAGTTTAAAAATATAGTTTAATATTTTTGCATTTATTTATGCTGTAATCTCTGAGATAGACCCTTTCTCTCCTTTTCCACACCTGAAGATCTCTTTAAGTCTCAGTTTAAAAGCCATTCTTTCCATGATGGCATTCCCAACTCCTCTTTTCTTCCCAAAGAGAAAACCCATTTTCATTGTTTCTGTGTATCAGTAGGCTCTTTTTGCTTATATCACTGATCCACCGACCATAATCTGCACTTATAGTTGACCATCTATAGGAAAAGCCTTCTTTTTTTTTTTTTAAGCCTTCCATTTTGCTTGGAAGAGATATTTTTAGTGTTAAACCCACAAAATGCAAGCAATCTAGGAATCCTGGAAAGCCTAGCAAACTAGGGCCATAAGGGGTCTGGGTATAGGAATGGGGACACCCAAGGATTTTCTATTTCTGCATGTACAACTGGTGCTAATAATGACAACCCACACAAAGAGATGGAAAGGGAGGGATTCCTCTATAAAATAGAAAAACAGGAGTAAATCTAAAGTTTCTGGATTTTTATTCTACCGGCAACTCCTGATTAACACTAAGGCTAGAATTTAAAAGTCCAGGAGATCAGAAGTTATTTAGATCATAGGTTATTGAGCCATTAGCATTCTTAATTTCTAAAGCAAGAGTGGACAAACTATAGCCTCTAGGTCAAATATAACCCATCCTATTCTTGTATGAACCACCAGCTAAAAACTGTTTTTATGTTGTTAAATTGTCAAAAATAAATATGTATTTGGTACTCTGTGAGGCTGAGGCAGAGGATCTCAAGTCTGAGCTCAGTCTTGGGCAACTCAGCCTGTTTCAAAATTCAAAAATTTTAGGGGCCAGGGATTTAGCTCAACGGTTTCACCGCCTGCCACTCAAGCAGAAGGACCCAAGTTCGATCCTGGTACCAAAAAACAAAACAAAACAAAATTTTTTTAATTTTAAAGAGGGTGGGGGGCTGGGAATGTAGTTCAGTGTGAAGGATCTAAGTTCAATTCCCAGTACTGCAAATGAACAAAAGAAGAATACTTTGTGGCATATGAAAATTATATGAAATTCAAATTCATTGTCCATAAAAAAGGTTTTACTGGAAAAATAGGTATATTGATTGCAAATTGTCTACAGCATCTTTCATGCTATGAAATTCAATCTCTTTCTAAGCCTAGACAGATAGTTTGCTGAAGCCTGTTTTAAAACGTCTCTTTGACATAAACATTCATTGTCATATAAGTGCTACAAAACAATATTTTTTTGCTTTTTCTCTTGCTTCTAATATAAAATATAAGACTTTCCAGCACAAGATCTTTGGTTTAAAAAAAAACTTGGAACCATGGGCTCTGTTTTTGAAATGAAAAAGACAAATTTCATCTTACAATGATTCCCAACATAAGCCCCCTTATTTCTAGGGGAACAAAAAGGAAGAAATGTGTTTCATGAGTTATTTTCAAAATTTAAAAATATACCCTGCGTATGTTAAAACTTCTAGTTTTTGGCTATAATTATAATTTGAAAATTAAAATTATTATTTTGGTTTTTTTGAGTCAGTCTCCTATGTTGTTTAGGCTAGCCTTGAATTCACTGTATAGCCTAGGCTGTCCTCAAACTCTTGGGAATCCTCCTGCCTCAGCCTCCCAAGTGCTGGGATTACCAGTGTGTGCCACCACTCCGGGAAAAAATTATAAAAATTTCTATTCTAGTAGAAATAGAATAGCCACATATGGTGGTACATGCCTATAAATCCCAGCACTTGGGAGGCTGAGGCAGGAGAGCTGCCACAATTTCAAGGCCAGCCTGGGCTATATAGTGAATTCAAGGCCAGCCTGAACTACATAGCGAGACCCTGCCAAAAAAAAAAAAAGAATAAAAAAGATACAAAGATAGTGATGAAAATTTGAGAGTCATTATCCCAGTGTAATATTGTATGACAGGACTCATGTAATAAATTAGTGGCAGAATGAGGTAAGAATGAACAGTTGAAAAACACATTCTGAAAAGATGAGGAGCATGCTGAAGAGATGAGGGGCATACTTGAATACAGTAAATACACAGCCTTTTCCACTGTGCTTATAACTAGTAACTACTGACAGTCAATAAGGGAGTGCTAGGGAGAGGTCATCATGTGGCCCTATGTCCCTCCTCTGCAGCTATAGATCCTGTCAGCATGGCTGCAAGTAGCTAAGAAGTCACCCCAGCCACTGGATATACACAGTACCACCCATAAGTTATAACTGAGAAAATGTTTTACTTCATGAGCAACTTGACTCTTCAATGAATCAGGAGTGCCTGCCTCCTCCCATCATTCCCACTTATAGTACACAAGCTCTCATACTTACCAAGATGCATTAACAATGTACTCAGTAAAACTGGCTTCCTTCTTTGGACTCCAAGTGCAAATTAAATTAACGCCATTTAAGACACATGAAATATTCTTAGGTTTAGTTGGCAGGGCTAAAAGAGATCACACAAACACAATTTTTGTATACTATATTTGTAGACAATACCAGCATTGAGTATTTTAATGAAAATAGGCTGACCAATGCTAAATTTGTTGTTTAGTTGCTGTGTATAATAGGTTCTCCTAATCAGATTCATGAAAAGAATCTAACTCTATTTCTTCAATTATTCCTTTTGAAGTTAGAGTTCTACTTATTAAAAATACATTTTGTATTCTTACCCAAAAGCAACATTTAAGAAGCAAAAATTATTAAAACATTAGGCAAATATTAAATATTAGTGAAATTCTAAGTAAACCACCAACTGATAGAACTACTCTGGATAATTGGGTTATAGGTGATATGGTCATTAGAGAAAAACATAAAGTGCTGGACTATGCCACACTTCAACTTCATGCATCAATATTTTTCTTTTTCTAGAAGACTGTATATTAGAAAAATATCTTCACCTGTATTTTCATATCTTGTTCCTGGTAGCTGCCTACTCAATCAGAAAAGCAAATACTACCATCCAGAACAGGAAGCTAGACCCTCAAGGGGTTCATAGTAGAATTCAGGAGAGCTAAAGTTTAATGGGAAAATTTATACCTTTATTTTATACTAACATACTATTGATATTTAGAATTTCCTTCCATCATTAGTCAACAAAATAATATTATCACTACTTGTGAGTTTGTTACCATTAAAAAAACACAAATATTTTCAATTATGCTTTAGTTGCCTCAGATACCTTGAAAAATAAAATATTATTCTTATTTTCTATATTAATCATTAGACATCACTATTATTAGACTCAAGTTAACATAATTATTAGGTCTTCTTAGTGTGTTAATAAATAACAAATTACTATATCACAAATTTGTTTCTTTACTATTTTGATGATTTCATTTCAATACATTTGGGTTTCTGTGTAATCCTGTGTATTTTATTTTTGCATTTACAAACATTGAGAAGTGGTCCACAGGCTACACCAGATGACTGTGGGGTTTATGACTAACACACACACACACACACACAATTAAGAATCAAGAACAGTTTTAGACTAAGACCAATATTCAGCTCTAAGGCTCAAATTAACTTATTTTTTTGAACTTTTGGCAAGAGGATAGTTTTAAGACAAAAGCATATTTGAGAAAGAAAGACAGCTTATTGTTATTTTTACACATCAAAGCAAAGCTCCAGTACTTCCTAGGAAGTCCCTACCAAGTGAGAAGTAGAAAAAAGCCCATCATTTAGAGCAAGTAAATTATGGAGGAGAGCAGGAGAGGAAGGGAATGAACAAAAGTAGGGCAAAGAGATCAAATGTCAGAGTTCTTAATAAAGCAGTGCAAATATGCTGATGGATCTGATAAACCATCTGGGCTGGCAACCTATTTCACACACAGCTTGCAGAAGGCTTGCAATCCTGTAAGATAGAGAAAGTTCCACCTGCCACTCAGCACTAACTCCAGCACGGCATGGAAATCCTAACTGGCAGGAAGTGGCCTGGGGAACTCCAGGTGAACTCCAGTACAGGTGGGGGCAGCAAGCTAGGATTCAGAAATTTCCCTGTGCCTCCGGGTGAGGGTGGGATAGACTTGTGAGACTGAAGTAGGCATGGGATTAGGGTCAAGGGGCTTTTGTGCACAGAGGGAATTAAGACCACAAGCAAACAACTTGGGCACGAATGTCAAGAGTAGTTTGTGGCAGTATGATGCTGCGAAGTCTAGGTAACGCCAGCTGTCCCATAGCAGATAGCAGAAGAGAGACTGGACCACACCAGATGCCACAGGAAAGAGGGCAACAAATGAACTTGTTCCTGTGGATCCAGAAGCCCTTCCCAAGACACTGAATTCACATAAACCCTGCTCATACATCCGGATACCATTTTTAAGGAGAAGCAGGGGAAAGGCAGGAACTCTGGATCAGTGGGCTCTTACCCTTAAAGAGACAGAAAAAGACACCAAGCCAGAAGAAAATAAGATGATGTTTAACAATATCAGGTCTGCCTGACTTTCTAACGAGGAACGGAATTTGAAGTCAATTAGTATAATCATACAAAATAAAGGTGTTCAGCTGACCCTTATTGAGTTGAAAAGTAGTTGAGACCTTTTATTTGCTCAGTGACTCACTTGTATCTTTTTAACACTTAATGTCAGAAAGTCGTTTTTATAAAATACATAGGGACAATGCTTTGCATTTTTATACATTCTGAAACTTTTTTGTGTTATAAAAGTACAATGAGCCTTACCAAATATAGTGTAGCAGAGTAATAAAATCAATGGCACCCACTGATTTACTTCATGACTGCCACACATTTACAGACTGAAAAACTCCACTTTAGAGATGTTTTTCCGTGAAGTAGTACACAAATACAAAATAAGATCTTGAGAGTTTAGATTGCAAAATCAGCATACTGACATTCTAAAAACTGGCAAAGCAGCACTTAGTGGATAAATGGAAACGGAAATGCCTGTTTCTGGCCAGTGGCGGGTCCCACGGGGGCGGGGTTCTTGGGTGCAGGGTCCCCAGTCCCTGGAGTCCTTCAGGGGATGCCATGAGGCTGCCTCACAGCCCCTCCTGAACTGCAGATCTTCTGACTGGGCCCAACTGCCTCGCGTCTGCTCCACCTATGGGCATCTTTTGCCATGGGCTGCAGGGTTTGGCTGTGAAGTTGCGGGCTCCAGGAAGAGAGTCGCTGCGGTTCTTAACCCTCTGTGGGGACTCCTTGCAGGCCAACCCCACCAAGAAGGCCCGGGGCAGGGAAGGACAAGCCCGGCACACCGCCCTCCTCACCACTGAGCCCCAAGCAGCTGGACTGCATCCAAAAAAACAAGGCCACAGTTCTGCTCAGACTTGAGGCCAGAAACATGCCCGTGGGCTTTGGGAACAGCTGGAAGAAGCACCTCAGCGGAGAATTCGGGAAACTGTATTTTATAAAGCTAATGGGATTTGTTGCAGAAGAAAAAAAACATTATACTGTTTATCCTCCCCGACACCAAGTCTTCACATGGACCCAAATGTGTGACATACGAGATGTGAAAGTTGTCATCCTGGGACAAGATCCTTATCATGGACCCAATCAAGCTAACGGGCTCTGCTTTAGCGTTCGAAGACCTGTTCCTCCCCTGCCCAGTTTGGAAAACATCTATAAAGAGCTGTCGACAGACATAGATGACTTCGTTCATCCTGGCCATGGAGATTTATCTGGGTGAGCCTAACAAGGTGTCCTGCTCAACACAGTCCTCACTTTTCAAGCCCATCAGGACAATTCACATAAGGAGAGAGGCTGGGAGCAGTTGTGTCCTGGCTCAATCATAACTTGAACAGCCTGGTCTTCTTGCTCTGGGGCTCTTATGCTCAGAAGAAGGGCAGTGCCATTGACAGGAAGAGGCACCATGTCCTGCAGACTGCTCATCCCTCCCCATTGTCAGTGTATAGAGGATTCTTTGGCTGTTGATATTTTTCTAAAGCCAATGAGCTGCTGCAGAAGTCTGGCAAAAAGCCCATTGACTGGAGTGAGCTGTGACCCCACAGAGCAGTGGTCCACCTCTTGGGGTGACTTTTGAGGGCGCTGCTGTTGAAGATTTATTTATCAGCTACAAAGTTACTGAAACTTTCTGTACCATTAAGCACCCTGCTTAATAACGAGAAAAAGCTTCCATAGAGCAACCAAGAACCAGGCTGTCATGGGATGGCAGCTTTATCCAGCCAGAAGTAGGTAGCAAAGATACCCTTTGACCACTTCTGCATATTTGAACTGTCCCCCAACCAAGGCAGAGGTGGCTTGGTGAAAAACTTGCACATTTCTCACAAGACAGCTGAGGTCAAATACTCCCTTGGTTCTCTTCACCTCCTTTAGCCTTGTGGTTAAAAGGGGAGATAAGCACCTTTTTGATACCTCCTCCCATAGTTTGGTGCCTGCTGCCACTTTAGATTTCATAGGTTACAAGGTATTCTGTGTTTTTGCTTTGAACCTTCCCCCTCCGTCTTTCAAGGAACCTCAGATCTTCCCTGGAGAAGATCTTGCAAGCTTCCCTGGAGAAGATCCTTGCAAGCTTCTAGAAACTTGGCCCTGAAATTGGGAATCAGTTTCCTGATTGTAGCAGAAGCCAGTATTCCTGAGAATTGTCGTTGGTGCGAGCCTGTGAGCCTTAACAGACCAGCAGGCTGAAAACCGCAACTAGCTGGGTCTTTATCCTGTTCTTTGGGTGCTTCCTGGAATAGTAAGTGGTGGAAGCTGAACAGAGACGGTTTTGTTTTTAATGGGGGATGAGTATTTTTCTCCCAGTGCTTTTGGGCGTGGGGTGGGATAAGGTGGCACAGGCTGCCCAGTGCTGTTTGTTTTGTTTTAATGGACTGAAATCACTTGGAAATATTTTTTTTGCAACACTGGTTAGTTCAACTTTTTTTTTTTATTTTATAAAATACTACATAAATACATATATTTTTATCAATCCTTTTTTTTTTTTTTTTTTGCAATACCGGGAATCCTGGGGATCGAACTCAGGACCTTGCACTTGTGAGGCAGGCGCAGCACTACTGAGCTAAATCCCTGGCCCTCAATCCTTTTTTTTTAAGAGGCTGAGTCTGCACCCCTGAGCTGGATGTGATGGAGATTGTTTTTGTTGTCAGCAGGGTTAAAAAGTTAACCATGCGCACATTTGGTAATAAAAGATTGTTGAAGTTTAAAAAGAAATGTGTGTTTCTCCAAAATTTCTAACATAATCAGCAAACTGTTTTTTCAAGAAGCCTCATATTACAGAATTGGGTTTGCACCTAATTTTAGAAACATATTCCACAACTATTCCTCACTTCTCTGTGCTCTTCTTTCTGTTCCTCTTTTACCATCCGTTGCCTGCATTTGGTTTGTCTTCTTCCTTCAACTATATATCCTAGACTATTACTATAGAGACATTTGAGCTGTGCATGTGACCATTGTTTCATATTCCAATGTCAAAAAGACTACATAATGGGGAAAGGACAGTCAAAAAATGGTACTGCAAACACTGGATATCCACATGCAAAAGAATGAAATTGAAACTTTATCTTAAACTATATGCAAAAATCAACTCACATTAAAGACTTACATAAAAGACCTGAAACTATGAAATTAATAGAAGAAAACATAGGGGAAATGGTTCATGATATTGGTCTGGGAAAAGATTTTTTTGGATATAAAATCAAAAGCCAAGGCAACAGCCAGATGTGATGGTGCATGCCTGTAATCTCAGCACTTAGGAGGCTGAGGCAGGAGATTGTTCTGAGTTCCAGGCCACCCTGGGCTATATAGTTAGTTCACGGCCAGCCTGAACTACACAGTGAGATCCTGTCTCAAAAAAAAAAAAGCCAAGGCAATAAAAACAAAACTAGGCAAATACATTAATCAAACTAAAAACTTCTTCTGGGTTTCACTGCCTGCTGCGCAGGTGCAAGGACTCGAGTTTGATGCCCGGTACCAAAAAAAAAAAAAAAAAAACTTCTTCTGCACAACCAAGGAAACAATCAACAAAATAACAAAAGAAAATATTTGTAAACTATACATTTGGTAAGGGGTTAAATTCAAAATTTATAAGGAATTCAAACAACTCAATAGCAAGAAGAAGAATAACCTTATTTAAAAATGGACAAAATATCTGAATAGAAATTTCTTGAAAGAAGATGTACAAATAGCCAAGAGGTATATGAAAAAAGTAGTGTATCACTAATCACCAAGGAAATGCAATGAAATATTACCTCATTCCTATTAAAATGGTTGTTACCAAAAAGGACAAAGATAAAAATTGTTGGTGAGGGAACCCTTACACACTGTTGGTAGAAATGTAAATTAGCATAACATCATGGAAAGCAATATAGTGGTTCCTAAAAACTAAAAAATAGAACTACCACATGATGCAACAATCTCATTAGTAGATATATTTATGTATCCAAAGGAAAGGAAATAGGTATGTTGAAGATATATCTGCACTCCCATGATTATTGCAGCACTATTCAAAATAGCCAAATTATGGAATCAACCAGGGTGTTCATTAATGAGTGAAGAGCTAAAGAAAATATGGTATGTATACAAAACAGAATCCTACTCTACCATATAGAAAATGAAATTATATCATTTGTGACAACCTGGATAAATATGGAGAACATTATGTTAAGTGAAATAAACCAGGTACAGAAAGATAAATGCCACATGACCTCAGCCAGATGTGGAATCTAAAAAACCTGATCTCAGAGAAGTAGAGCATAGACTGTGGTTACCAGAAGCTCGGCTAGTTAGAGGGTAGAGGCAATGGGAAGATATTAGTCAAGAGATACATAATTCTAGTTACATAATTAGTTAAATGTCCAAAATAGGGAAACATATAGTGACAGAAAATAGGTAGGTAGTTGCTTGTGGCTGAGGCAGGGAGTGTTAGATTGGGGGAAAGAAAAGAAATGATGGATGACTACTAATAGTTTCTTTTTTGGAAAATGAGAATGTTCTAAACTGATTGTAGTAGTGGTTGCATAATTCTGTGAGCATACTAAAAACAACTGAATTTATACTTTAAATCGGTGAATTTTATGACATGTAAATTTTATATCAATAAAGCTATGTCTTAGAAAAAAAAGAGAAATGTTTTGGTTAACATACATTAAAAGCCAGTAGCCAGCAAGGATGACACATCTGGTCTCCAAAACCAAAATGTCATAGGTATCAGAAGAAAAGAGTGACTCTAAAAATGATTTTCACTCAACCTAGATTGTTTTTACAGCACTACATTTGTTTTGCCATTGCTGCTTGCCATAAAGCAAGGGAAGCCAATAGTCTTAGAGAGGACACCTGATACAGGTATTACAGGAGAGTAGATAAAATTAATGTTCATCAGTATTTCCAGAGCTTATCAATATCTCCTACTCCTGTATATACTGAAGGATATTATTACTTTGGCTCTTTGAAATCAGACATTGACATGCCTTGACCATTGATGTAAGGAGAAACGCTTAAATCCTGTGCATGATGTCTTCTGTATCTTCCCAGTGTCCAACCCCACTGATTTTTCTTTGGTTTTTAAGTTTTTTAACACAAGATATTATTAAATTCTTTTTTTTTTTTTTTTTTTTTTTTTTTTTGGTACCAGGGATCAAACTCAGGACCTTACACTTGAGAGGCAGGCAGTGGAACCACTGAGCTAAATCCCTGGCAAGATATTATGAAATTAATGGATCTTGGATGTGCCGAGCTATTATATAGATATCAGGTCCATAGTATTTGGGGGGAGAGGTACCAAGGATCGAACTCAGGACCTTGCGCTTGTGAGGCAGGCACAGCATCACTGAGCTAAAACCCTAGCCCTAGGCCCATAGCACTGAGTTGGAACACTGTAGACATATACTGTTTCCTCATTTGCCTTTATGCCCCTAGAATTTATGTCAAATGATGTGAATACTGTACATTTGTGTGTGTGTGTGTGTGTGTGTGTGTGTTATATGAAGCCACAACAACTAATACAAAAACTGTGCAGACAAGCCCTTACCTTACGCTGTAACTGTGATCTTGACCTTTGGAGGTCATATTTCCCTTTGAAAACACAATAGCCCATCTTACATATGTAAAAGTATACATGAATTTGAAGTATAGGAGTGCATGCAAACATGTATAAACACACACATATATTCAGGGTGTTCACAAATCTCCCATTGTCTCTCTGTAGAGGTTCATGGTCCAGATGTCTCTTTGCTCTGAAGTTTAAAATTATTGTCCAGCAAAGACAGAAAGAGCCACATGATCTATAAAAGTGCCTAGGCTGACCTACCTGTCAGGCTGAGTTTGCAGAGTAAAGGGAATAGCCACAGTGCCCAGATCCACATTGTTCCTGAATTAACTCACAAGGCTGGAGACAGAGCTGAAAATACAATCAACAAGAGATAGATTACTTCTTATTTCTTTTTAACAACTCTATTCCACTAACAGATTCTAGGGATTTGAAGGGGAGAACATGTTTTATTTTTATTCTATCCTGTTCTGTCCTGTCCTGTCCTGTCCTATCCTATCCTATTCTATCGGATGTCATTGTACAGATTCTTTCATAATTACTCCATCAACCCCAGTCAACATTTTAAAGATGTACCATAACAATACATTTTCATTTTGTCCATAATGCACTCCACTACATAATATGAAACATACAACCATCATCATGAATATGTTCCAGGAAAAAAGGGACTATGAGCCTGTAGGGATCTGAGACCATCCTCAGGCCTTTGTCTCAGTTCCCAAACATGCCAACCAAATGAACGATTTTCTTTCCCAAAGTACCATGCTATTTCACATTCTTCATACTTTGTACATGCCTGTAATGTCCCTTTCCCCTTGTGATATTATAAGATTTAGCTATGGATATATAGGTTGTTTTTTAATGCATGGTTCTTAGCTTATATGTCCTTCCCAAAGACAAGCCATAGAAACTAGAATTTATCCTTTCTGAGACAGGGCATAGAAATTCTAAACTTCTCCTGCATTTCTGTCTTGAAGCTACCCTTAAAGAAATTCTCTGACCTAGTCTTATCTGATTGTAGGTCTTAAAACTCTCCTCATTCCAGAGGGGTCCTATACTCAGGAAGAAGAAATGGTGCATACACAGGTCTTGCTAGGTTTCCTCACCCAGTCTATCAGCAATCATGCCCATGCAATGAAGTCTCCATAAAAACCCATAGGAGAAGGTTCTAGGAGCTTCCACATAACTGAACATGTGGAAGTTCCTGGAGGGTGGCAGGAAGCTCCACACCTTTTCCCATATCTTGTCCTATGTATCTCTTTATGTGTATCTTGTATAATATCCTTTATAATGAATCAGTAAACCTATTTCCCTGCCTGATTCTGTGAGCCACTCAAACAAATTAATTGAGCCCAGGAATAGGGTTGTTGGAACCCCAATTATAATCAGTTAGTCAGAAGCACAGGTAAAACAGTCCGACGCTTGCAACTGGCAAAAGTTGGGAGGAAGGGCTCTTGGGGTCTAAGCCTGCAACCTGTGAGATCTAGTGTTACCTCCAGGCAGAAAGTGTCAGAACTGAATTGTATTGGACAATACCAGCTGGTGAGCAGGACTGATCGCTTACTTGCTGGTGGGAGAATTGCCCATACATTTGGTATAAACCATCTTCTGTGTTGATTGTATTGTAAAAATAGAGACCAAAACCCAGAAATTTTATTTTTCCTAATGCATACCTCTATCCTGATACAGTGATCATCTTTCCAGACTCATTCCAAGGCCAACTTTTTCCAAGACATCCTCCCTGAATTTCACACAAAGCTGAGAAGTCACTCTCTCCTTTGGGGTCCACAGTCTGTCTCATACGTGTCATCTGTGCTCTTGCCACTGACACACTGAATGGTGCTTAGTAGTTTACTTGCTGCCTTCTTCCCACACAGGCAGCTTTGTGAGAGTGGAGCCTCTCTCACTCCTCTTTGAAGCCTTACTACTCAAGGCAGAGCCTGTGCAGTAGACATTTAATATTGTTTTATGATTTAATAGTTAATTAGAACAAAAAGACTACTGGTTTCTCATCTTGTCCCACATGAGATGGTGGGAAAGTATAAGGATGAAGTAAATATAAAGTAATAATTCATTTCAGGAAGAAACAAATCATGGCAAATAAAAAAAGAGAAAAGAGTTCTCAACAAAATAAGTCATTTCAGAAAAAGTGACACAACATCTCTGGGGATAAAATTTTCACATGTACAAACCAACTAGAATACCTAACTAAATGAAAATGCCAAAAGTAATAAATGCGAACTTGGATTTATAAGAATAAAATATCATCAATAAATAAAGGTTCCTAACAGCAGTAGTGAATGCCCAGTGTTACTCATAAAAGTAGTTTTTCTCTCAAGAAACAGCCCACTTTGATTCAAATAAATATAAAACATAAGTTTTAATGTGCAGTAAAGTCTATATATGTCTTTAAAAATTAATCATAACACTAATAGCATTTGTAGAGCTCAGTGCTTACTAGAGAAACAGATTTAATGCAGGATATACAAATGCATATGAATTTACAAGATTGGTTAAAGTGGCCACCTGCAGAGTTGGGGAAGTGGAAAAGTGCAAAAGGCTGTCTGTGTGCTAGAAATCCAAAGGATCCAGTCAAAGGCCTCGAGCTCACTGTAGTGTCCTGTGCGAGTCTATATCAGGAGGCTAAAGGGAAGATGGAAGTGATGAAGCTGAAGAGTCTGTACTAGAAGGCTGAAGAATATGTACTGGAAGCCAGGAGATAATAGGCAAGGTGAAGGTGAAGACCAGAGCTACTCTGAAGAAACAGAAGCAAGCCTTCCTTCTTTGTTTCTCTTTTATTCAATTCAAGCAGTAAGCCTGTTGATTGCTGTCACTCACACCCAGGATGGGTCTTCTGTCTTTAGCAAATCCTTTCGTCCACACCCAGAACTATGCTGATCTAATATAGTTGGGCATTTCTTACTGAACTGACACAGTTACCTATCACAGCATTCTTTTGTGTCTGTTCAGAAAAATGTCTTAATGTTCTCCAACTCTGAGGCAAAAGATGTGGTTTTAGTCTTAGCTCCCATTATTTAGTTCTAAAAACATATTGGAAAGGGAGGGAGGCCCAACCATGGAGACTGTGAAAGCAGAGATGCTGGCAGTCCCAATAATTAAATAAATGAATAATTATGGATGTTAGAGCTAAAATTGTTACTGAAAAGTGGCTTTGCATTTTTTAATCTTATGGCTATTAAAGATTAAATAAGAAGGAATTAAATGCCTGCCTTGCAAGCACAAGGTCCCAAGTTCGATCCCTGGTACAAAAAAAAAAAAGATTAAATAAGAAATTCATATATGAAAACATTTTAATTTACTATTTGATTTCTTTATCATGAGAATACTCATCTATTATTTGTGAAATTTTAAAAAGAAACTTATAAGGTCAATAGCACTAAATCAGAGACAAAGCTGGAGAAGTTGTAGCAGCTGAAGAGAGTGGCATCCTAGAATCGGAGACACTTGTATTCTAGTCCTAGTGCTCTTATGAATTGGGGTAGGTACCTTCAGATTTCTTGGATTCATTCACCACTGTCCCAGTTACAGGTTAGGGGCTGAGAATAAAAGAGCCCATCCCTGACTTCAAAGACCTTATGTTATAGCTCAGTGATTTTTTATTTTGGTACTGGGGATCAAACTCAGAACCTTGCACTTGCAAGGCAGGCATCAGAACCGCTGAGCTAAATCCCCAGCCCAGCTAAGTGATTTTTAATGTGCAAAGTGACAAAAGACAGAGGATGGCAGGAGCTTTATTTTTTTCCAAACTACAAGTGCTAGAGTGAGCGACTGTTCCTGATGACTGGCATCTTGAAGAATTTCAAATGGGTTTGAATAGAAAAGGGTTGAGAATCATAGTCCATCTGTAGAGATGAAGCATGAGTAGTAATCTCAAATATCACATGACAAGTGCTATAATTGTAACAGTGTAAGGAAGGAATAGAGCACCAAAGGAAAGAAATGAGCTCGTGCCTGTGGAAAGCCAACAAGCATCATCATTATGATGTTGCACACCCCCCCACTCTAATGCTTGATTGTCCTCCAAGAGACTTTTCCACTTTCTCCTCTCACACCCATTGGCAGGACTTCATTTGAATACAGCATTTAGTAGAGCCTTATAATTTTCACACAGCACTTTGAATACACTGTGCAAGACTAAAGGATTCAGTGATGCCACTTCAGGTAACTGACAGTACCCTCTCTTTAAGAATATAAACCTAATAGCAAGCTACCATAGGAGTAGAATAACTGGAAACAAATTCAAGTTACAAATCATTGTTGTGGCTGGGGACAATGTAAGATAGAGAATGAAAGCAGGGAGCTACTGTCTGTGACAGTAGATGCTGCAACTTTTAGCAGGTTAAATTATCCTTGCCTCCCCACATCCTCACTCATATGACTAATGTGAAGGAACTAAAATGTGGCTATATTACTCCCTAGCAACCCCCCATTACATGTTATCTGCTTCCCTACCCCACTAGCTGCCTCTTGGCAATTTAGTTCCCACTCAAGTATCAGGTGGTAAGCTTCATCTAATTCACTTGTACAAAAATTCACAACCATGTGACTTTCCCAGGGCTGGCTCTGTTTTCTTTCATTTGGTCATTTACATTACTAATATTTGCTGATGCCCATTTTATCCCAGGCACAGTACAGTAAACCTGTAAACTAAAGTCCTACTGGTCTTTGAAAAATTCTGAGGGACAGAGTAAGGCTTGTCAGACTGCAACTTGCTGCTCCCTCACCCCTACTCCTAGTGTTAGGTACTTGAATCTGTGGCCAGAGTGCTGTCCCTAAAATTTACTCCTCCTTTTTTGCGCATTCTTTAAAATACTATCTCATACTATGAGAAACAAGCAGCAAGCTGCCCAACCATAATTATCCCCTCAGAATTCCTTATAGACTAACAGGATTTGGCTTATAGTTTTATTTTAATTGGTCAAAGAGAAGGGTCCTCTGTTCTCACTCTTTTAAATGTTGATTTGGAGCCTGTGATGATAATAGTAAAAATAACACTCTGAGATTTACAAAACTTTTTCACAAATATTTTCTTATTATGTCCCTTCTGACCTTTGAAGTAAAACAGGGCAGATATTTCTGTACTTATTTACATTTGTGTATTTTATATTTAATTTGTCATTATATTTTGGGTTAAGTTACATGAAATTGCCACTTTCATAAATCAAAAACAGCCAAATACTGGCAATTCCACCTAATAAAACAATAGTATCTTCATTTTTTAGATAAGGATATTGAGTATATACTTGCCCAAAATTAGATTAAGAGCTACCAGATAACTACCTTCAGTTCTAATGGCTATAAACTCATTAGGAATATGGTCTGCTTTCAAACAAAGAATATTCTAGATGGCCAGAAACAAGATTGGGAAGAATGCAACCATGTGGTGAAAGAGTCTATCAGTGCTAATTATATCCTTTCCTTTAAAAAAAAATCCCTGTAGAGTTAGTATATTATCTCCACTTCACTGATACAGATATTCTCAGAGATATCATGTAAATAGTTAAAAAATAATAGTTTAATTTTTTTTTTTTGGTACCAGGGATCGAACTCGGGACCTTACACTTGCAAGGCAGGCAGCGGAACCACTGAGCTAAATCCCCGGCCCCCAAAAAATAACAGTTTATAAGAGGCATTAATGGGATTCAAATCATTGCTGCCTGATTCCAAAATGTAGATTTTCCACTAAAACCGTATGATAGCTTAGTGATTTATCCTCTCTCAGTGTTCCTCCCAGTAAACACCAATACCCGCAAGAATTTTCCTCTGACACTCCTAAGTCTACTTTTCTCTAGGCTAGAGTTTCCTGCAAGATGAGTCAACTATGTTCAGACATTTTCCCCAATTCCTTTCCTCTAACCTTCATGACTCACCGTCCCCAACCTAGCATTTAAACACGTAAATTGTTAAAAGAGTAGATTCCTTCTAACTGGCAACAATCAGTCTAAGGAGTAATTTATGTCATAGGTTCCGACCGAAAATTTCACTGAAGAAGACAGAAAAAGACCCTCACATAGTAGAAAAAGAAGATTTGGGTATTACTCTTCTAAATGAGATAGCACTCACCTTCATGTATTAGGTGGTGTCCCATGGATGCCCTACTGGTTCAAAAGATCTGCCTCAAAGGCAACTCCATTCCCTCCAACACAAGTCAGGACAGAGAGGATGATCTGGAC